CTAGTGCTTCTTCCGTTCTCACTGCTCTCGATGGCGGGGCGGCTAAGGGGTATGTGGAGATCCCCCCAGTTGAGCGCGCTATTGCGATGCAGCTCTGCCCGCAAAGCGCCGCCGCCTGGCGGGGTAATCCGCGCCTCCCGTCCAGGGCCTGCAAGTTCTTGTCCGCTCTAACAGCCAAGGCTTACAGAGCTGCTGGACAGGCTGCCTCCGCCCTGGACGCCATGGCCCTCCTGCAGGTCTACCAGGCCAAGGTGTTGAAGCAGCTGCACGAGGGCAGTTCTGACCCTGGGGTAATGCAGGAACTGTGCACAGCGACGAACCTCGCCCTCCGGGTGACGAAAGTCACAGTGTGGTCCCTCGGTCAGACGATGTCCACCCTGGTGGTCCAGGAACGACATCTATGGCTGAACCTGGCAGATATGAGGGAGGCAGACAAACACTGTTTCCTGGACTCCCCGATCTCCCAGGTTGGCCTCTTCGGTGATGCGGTGGAAAGCATCGCCCAGAAGTTCTCCGCCACACAGAAGCAGACGGAGACGATCAGACACATCCTGCCCCGGCGGCCAGCTGCTGTCATCACCCTGCCGCCGGCTGCAGTCCCTCCGCCCACTCCACCTACTGGTGAAGGACGCAATAGAGCCAGTCCCTCCAGCCGATATGAAGTCGGGGTTTTACAGCCCCTACTTCATTGTACCCAAGAAAGGCGGTGGGTTACGACCAATCCTGGACCTGCGCGTTCTGAACCGGGCCCTTCACAGGCTCCCATTCAGGATGTTGACGCAGAAACGTATCTTTCAATGCATTCGTCCACTCAATTGGTTTGCAGCGATCGACCTGAAAGACGCGTACTTTCATGTTTCAATCCTCCCTCGACAGGCCGTTTCTCCGCTTCACATTCGAGGGGCGAGCATATCAGTACAAGGTCCTCCCCTTTGGGCTATCCCTGTCGCCTTGTGTCATCACCAAGGTTGTGGAGGCAGCCCTTGTTCCATTGAGGGAAAGAGGCATTCACATTCTCAACTACCTCGATGACTGGCTCATACTGGCCCAGTCTCGAGCGCAGTTGTGCGAACACAGGGACGTGGTACTCAGTCACCTCAGCCGGTTGGGGCTTCGGGTCAACTGGGAAAAGAGTAAACTCTCCCCCGTGCAGAGGATCTCTTTTCTCGGTATGGAGTTTGACTCAGTCAATCTGACAGTGCGCCTCTCAGTAGGGCGCACTCAGTCGATGCTGAGCTGCCTGGAGTCTTTCCAGCGCAGGAGGGCGGTTCCACTGAAACAGTTTCAGAGGCTCCTGGGGCATATGGCATCCACTGCCGTGGCCACGCCGCTCGGATTGCTTCATATGAGACCGCTTCAGCACTGGCTTCACGACGGAGTCCCGAGATGGGCATGGCAACGCGGTACTTACCGGGTCCCAG